TATATATATATGACGATACATACACAGATGGGGGAGAGAGAGAAAAAGATAAAAAATGGAATGAAAGACCTTTGTTGATACTCAAATAAATTCTTTTTTTCTTTAAATACGCGATATTTGTTCAATATTATATAATAAATGTTATAATATATTCATTTTTTGTTTTATATATTATATTTGTATTAATTTTGTTATAGATGTCAAATTTTTTTCATTGCATTTGAATCAAAAAGAAGTTTTAATGCAAGTATAGACCGACTACGTGGTCGGGCTATTCTCAATCGTACTACTAAATTGTTTCAAGCCTTCACCGAGTGAAACAATCGCTGCATGATTTGTGCCGTGCTTGCGATGACGGCTTGTGTGTAAGCAAGATCAATCACACAATCGCAAAATCATTAAACCGGAAAAGATGTAGATTCGGGACATATTGTTCGTTTGGATGTCATTTACACCAGTAACTCATATATTTTAGCGCTTTAATTAATATCAAAAGATTGTGTTTTTTTTCATTCAACATATTTTTATGTTTTTATATACACACATATTTCGTATATATATATATACGATATAAATGAACTGAATGGATATTCACGCGAAATTATTGATATTTATAACCATAAAAAGTAGAATTGAAAGTGAGAAGTATCGCCTTTTTTTTCGTTATCGATAACATTGGTCGAAAGAAAGTGTAGATAATAGAATAGTCAATTTTCGGCTCAGCGGTCAATGAAAGTATCGCATCAACGATATCGTGCACATAGCTGCAGGCGGATATATAGATATGTATATGTATAGGTAAGGAACACAATATATGATGCAACACCGATCTAACACATAATATATATATTGTCATTAGTGCTAACATAACATTCTTGCGACCATGAGCGCAAGCGTTTTACCATATCGCAATCAGGCGTCAGGCGGATTTCTCGCTCTAAGTAGGACTTGCCTGATAAACAGAGGGTCTTGAATTAATTCACGTAATTTCATTCGATTCCAATCATTGGATTGACGTTTAATAACATTTATTCATTTCTCTTTTTAATGCTACTTAAATACTAAAAACATCCATAAAATGAATGTAAAATACTTATTTCGTGTACACTACGATGATTCTTCTTCGTGCTTCTTTTTCCTATTTTATTTTTTCTTTTCATTATATCAAACACGCGTTTCTCATTATGTATCCCTGCTCCTATATGCGATATTTCTCGGATTTCAATATCCGAACATGTCTCAGTGATACAGATTGAGAAATTAAGTTGACGTTATATATAAGTAAAGAATAATTAAGATCGTATTTTTAATTATACTAGGTGATGTTTTGAGATCAGTCTGCGACTAATGCAACAGAGTGAAAAAGTTAAAATGTACATATATGTGTACGAAAAATTTACAAGGTGTGCTTATAAAAATTAATAATCCAATTATATACATTTTTCTCAAATATGATTCATTATTAAATAATATATATTATATTTCCGCTAACTGTTTGTATACTCTGTTGCATCCTTCTTGCATCATATGAAATATTCTAGGCATATTTCGTAGTATTTATTGTTTTATTAATATTCTAATAAGAGTTAATTGTGCGGCGGAAAGAAAGATAAAAGGAAGCGAAAAAAGTGAGGAGAAGAAACTAATACAAATATAGTAAGAGGAAAAAAACTATTGTACTGATAAAAGAATGGAGAACGTTCAATGCATCAAGCATATAAAATTTAATTGTATTGAGGGCGATTAAATTCTATAGAAAAAATCTCTATATAAAAATATCAATAGCAAGAAATAAAATAAATATTATATTTTTGTAATAAATTTAAAGAGCATCGTTGTTACGATTTCAATTCGTCACAAGCGTGAATGGAGCAATTCGTAAACGCCATTTGTGCATTCAATTCCGTGTAGTTTTCCAATCGAGTGCGTCAATAATCGGGCATCCAATTACACAAGAAAGCTCAACTATATAAAATCCATCATCGATTAATGTAATACGTTCGAATTACATACGGATGGGAATGAAATAGAAAAATATGCGGTTGATAAATGATTAAAAAAAAAAAACGAGAAGGAAAAAGAGGATAAATGAAAGAAAATAAATCACTGTGCTCTTTAAAATAGTCTTCCTAAGCACTTGTGTAATCAAAAAATATACAAAAATTAGTGACGATATAAAATAATTGCATGAAAATTCGAGAGAGAGGGAAGGAAAAAATAACCGCAAAAATAAAAAAATATAATAACAAAATGTATATAAAGATATAGTAATAAAGACACATAAGATTCATAAAATTTCATAGCAAGTCTTCGAGTGTTTGAGTAATCCGAGATACACAAAGGCAAGTAAAAATGTCCCGACTTTCGCGCCTTAATAATGCCTATAGAAAAATATCACGGATCATACACGAGTTTCGTAATACGAGCATACTAGCGTCTATGCACGAACCCATGTGCATATTATAAAGTCACGATTTTTTATCGAGCCGAGAATCACGATATCCAGGAAATATTCGCAAGCAAATTTCATACCAAATTGTACTTTCCTTCATATTGGAGCAATCGATAGATAATAGTTTTTAAATATTTTTTCTCTAAGTAAATTTTGCGTCCCACGAAAATATTCAGGAATGCACTTTGGATGCACAGAACGGTACTTATGCAATGTAGACCTACCAATCCACAACATGGATTTTCGATTTAGTTAACGATATTTCAAAATCCTATTTTTGTATGTATGTGGCAATGATTATATATTTCTTTATTGAGAATTATATTCAGTTTGTGCTAGCTTCCCCGCGCAAATATTTCGGTCATGTATCTCTATATATATGTATTTGCTTTTTAATCGAGCTTATTATCTGTGTTAAAAAAAAAAAAATAAAGTGAATATATTGAAAATCATGAAGAAACAGTTAATATATAATATATTTCTCGTACGTAAGATACTTTGATTTATATGGCAGTTCTTTTATATAATAACAACTTTATATTTATTGCAAGGTAAAAGTGTCGTGCTATTTGATATAAACAATCTGAGGATATAGAGAGTCTTACTATCTTCTTGCAACGCAATTAACAAATAATTGTTTTGTATTTGTATATACGCGTACAATAATAAACAATCGCGTGCGTACAAGTGTGTATGTGTGTGTGTTTATACATACATATACATATAGAAAGAGAGAGAGAGATAGATAGATAGATAGATAGATAGAAATAGATAGAGGAAAAGACAACAGTCAATAACCAGTCACAAAGTACCTTTTAGTCGAGTTAGCGAGCTTCTCTCTACGCTCAGGGTCAGACTGAAACAGACATCATGACGCGTCATTTTTAACGCGATTCATTAACACAGTCGTTGATTGGTAGGTAAGTTGGATAGCTTGATAGATTAATAGATCGAAAGATATCTCTAGAGAATTGGTTATCCGATAAATTGGCCTCGTTACACACACACTATGATGTGAAAGATGAACGCGAAAATTATTCGCAAGATGCATATAAGATTCTGATTATTACGTGTCGCTCACTCGTTGCGACGAGCACTCTCTCGCATCGTCTATTATGTGATACTTTCTATATAGTATACATATATAATTGTATATGATTCGTAATATACAAAAAATATATGTAAATTTAATTGTGTGAAGGAAAAAAGTGTGCCAAAATTATCTGTTTAATTTTTTTCCCCTGAATTCGATTATACTTGTGAAGGTATATATCGTGTTTTCATTTAGACATTTTTCTGGATACTATTAGTTGTCCAAGTACAAATGACGGTTTTTAATAAAGTGCATTTTGCTGCGTGAGAGCTCGATCAGCATGATTATTTCTTAGAAAATCGTAATAAGTCGTAGAATTGTTTCGAAGAAAAGTATCGATTGGCTTGTATTTTGCGTGCAATCCTTTCTATAAACATTCATTATAAGCGTCTGATATTAACGACGCGTGATATCTAATTAGATAACGGAGATAAATGTATCGAGCATTATATATATAATCGCAAATAAATCTTTACAGCGATTGTTGCATTTAAAAAAAATATACCATGGGTCTCGTACAAAAGATTCCACGTTAGAGGCAATCGAACACTATGTTCGAGATTTTTTGTCGATTGAACATCAATTTACTCATTCGATTGCGTCGGTAAATTTGTGTGATTTGAACTCATCGTACATTAAACACACACACCTCAAAAATATTAAACTAAAACTTCAACCAAAATTTCGAAGAGTATATATATATATATATATATATATGTATAAAAATATATATTGCATATTAATTAAATCATTTAAAGTACATGGATGTCACAGAATTTTCAATTATTAAATAAATGTAAATCATTGCAGGAAAGAGAAAAATATAGATGACAATATTTTTTAATTTATGTCGCAAATTTTTCCATTTGTTTTCATGTAAATAATCTTTTTAAAAGACAGATTTATCAAGATTAATTATTATATATAAAAATTCCTTCTGTTATTATATTTTAACTTATAATGTTATACCTTTTGTTATTCTAGTTTCCATTTAATATATCAATGTTAATATATTAATATTAGGTAAACACAAATATTAAAATATTAAGTTGATTTAACGAATTATGCTCATTGAATAAATTTCAAGTTTATACGACATCGAGAGAGAAAATATTTATTAAAACATAAATTCTTCAATAAAAAATACGGAGGTTAAAATAGAATCTCATATTATTAAGTGCTATGTACACTGTCCAACAATGATTCGTTCCGATTTTCTAATGAAATGAACGTAAGAGTGGGGATATCCATTCTATATAAAATAATTAACATATATAAAATATTTCGACAGTGGAAAGGGATTGAGACGGCATACGGCTTATAACGTATAACGCGTGTTATTGTTTTGATACGCTGTCACGTTATTATCATTTATATGGCGAAGCTCCAGCAGAAAGACAACAGCACGAGTTGCTTCGTATGTCGCATTATTTTTCGAAAAACGTAATTATTCCAAGCAATCATTACAATTTGCGATTAACATTTTATAAACGTATACTATCTTAATCACAGAGTCGTAGCGAGTATAAAGATAATGCAATTTTCCGACCAAGTAAATCGTACTTTTGTGTTTGTAGTCGTAATGTTTTCAGTATGAATATCCTCACATCTATGTTCCCCCTCGCTAAGGCAACGAAAATCATTGTCAGGCAGTGTACAGCGTTTGATATAATTATGGGTAACCTATATAGTTTATAATATTCTCTTGCAAATATTTTTTCATGTACATATATTGTTTTATGAAAAAAAAAAATATATAAATGTCGTAGAAATAACGAATTGTTGCGCGAATACTGGATTTTTTTAAAGATATTTAAAGATGAAATTTTTATTTGCCTGTATTTGAATAACAGTAACTTTTTATTCTGATATCAAGAATATCAAATGTGTCGAGAAAAAGATTTATTAATGAATTAAGACGTAACCGCCCACCGCTTGTCGCTTCTCAATATACTCGAGATACATGCAATGATTAATTATCGATAAAATATTAATTTGATCCTCACATTCAACGTGAAGCGTACCAATCGCTTTGAAGACATTGATCGACTTGATAGATTCCGATATTAGATGTATGTTAATTAAATAATTAAGATTATTGGTCACCAAACACATGCGTCCCAGAGACGTGCACGCACGCGGGAGACAGAGAAAGAGAGAAAGATAAAGAGAGACAAATAAAGGCAGGAGAGAAAGAAAGAAAAAAATAATGGAAAGAATCAAGAATCGTGTCGTGTTTTATGCGGTAACAGCGTACCTCGATATAAAAGATTGGTTGCGATTCGAAGATCGTTGATATCTCGCTCTTCGATGATTCATTTCAAAAATTGTAATTAAAATTATAGATACAAATGTTTAATGTATCGAACGAAATCTATATCTCTGCAAAAGTATTTATTAATACGATACACACACACACGTTATTCATGACATATTTTATTCTCAATTCTATATGGAAGGAATAAGATCTTTTTCCTCTTAATACACACGATCTTCATTTAAATCATTCCAAAATTTTGAAATTTTAGTGCTTTTCACGAGCTGTGACTATTTAAAAATGTTATATAGAACTCGGTTTATCTGTTTATCATTAATCGTAATTTTAAAAGTGTTTCTATCGATTATCTTATAAATTATAATTTACTAAACCGAAAAATAGACGCGCTCAATTCTTGCAACTTATATTTATACGAATTTTTCAATCTACTATAAGAGTTGTTAAAAGATTATCCGGCAAAACTTGTTAAATTATTTATATTACTCGCCTGTTTCACCAAACTAAAACGGCTTTGCAAGAACTGTTCACATGTATTTTCTTACTTCTGACGATTAAAGATGTAGCTGATGTGCATATATATGCATCACCGATCTCAAAAATTTATATTAGAAAATTGTTCATACGGTAAAAAGAATTCCTTCCGAAACATTATATATATAACGGCGCCAGAATCTATTATATAAAGAATCTATTCTCTTGTGAAAAAAGAAAGTCTGTTACTTATTGTTAACTTTACCGCAGCATTTGTAACAATTACTCGATCTTGTATATGTATAATATTAAAATATACAATTTATAGATGTCTCGTCCACCCTTCTCATGCAAATTATCGGATAGGAGCCAGATTTTCGAGTAATTGGCAGCCTCAGTGAAGTAGATAATTCGAAAAACCCGGTGAATACATACCCGTTTGCGAATGCGGAGATTCTATCCCGCGATGTCCATCTTCCGGCCTAAGAACCGATGAAAATGTCGGAGCACTCGAAACCGAGACTGTCGGCGGCTTTTCAGTCTTATCGTTTCTTATTAGTTGATGAACCGGTGGTGGGCCTGCGCATAAAATAATGCATGGACATGGATTGACACTTGCCATTGATAAAACAGATGTAAAATCGCGTGTCTTATTACTTGTGATGTTATTATTAAGTTGTAAACAATATACGGTGGATTGCGCGCTCCACTCCATCTCGTCAACATCATAAAAGAGGATTGTACGTATTCGATAAAAGAAAAGGGGAATATAGTTGGCAACAATCCAGATATACTTATCGCTGAAATTTTTCCGTGCGTGTATTATACTTGAGAAATTGGTTATCTTATTTTGATTGTAAATTTCGTCCGTTTGCTGATTGGCACTGTCCCCTGTATATTTTGTCGCATAAAATTAACATTGTTTATTGCAACAAGATTCGATATCATCATCTAAATGTCTCTTTGGCCTCGTTCCTTCTAGTATTGTTTCATCTCTTTAATCTCTTTATTTTTCTTCTTCTTTTTACATATTTCATTATTACGAGGATAATATCGGAAAAAGTGACTGTGACTCTTGAAAAGTTAGCGATTGCGTAAGAGAGGTGTAAAGTATTTGGGAAGAATGAACAACTAATAGTAAGATACATAATTTAGTACTATCGATAGAACCCATATATTTATAAGATGATGAAGAGAAAGTTGCGCAAAGAGATTAAAGCGATAAAGCGGATAAAATTTTTCACCGACGAAAATTTTCAACGACAGAGTCAATGAGGAGAAACTGATGTACGTAGATGGAATAAATAATTTCCGCGATTCCTTTCCGCTTGTACGACGTGAACTAGTTTAACGAGAGCCTCGGACATGGACGACGATGCAGCGGCTACCGTGGCTACCGCATTCGACCCCGACTCTGTCTACTAAAAATAAGGGCAAAGGCAGATTTTGAAACTCACTGAAGCTAGCCGCCGGCTGAACGTGATCCGCGGTCGTCGCTGCGGATGGAGGGGTGTAGCTGCTGCAGTAGTACGGCGGGTGCTCTATTTTGATCGCGTTTATTTGAGGCTGCATGTCGCTGAGGTCATGCAGTATGGACGCTGAAACCAGACACACATTAGCACGGTTCCTAACGCTTTCGTACGTGTCATTCGCTTTCGTTTGCACTCCCCGCAGCACAATCGCGGAAAACGGCGCTTCCGCGCACACAATCATGCGAGAGGGAGAAAATTTTCTATTCGGCACAAGACACAGATGACACATGACGTGTGATTGACCGACGGATTTAATCTAACGCGGTCGCGCGCATCTACAAGTATCAAATGCAAAAGAGTCGATTTAATTAAATTGGCTAACCATCGTTTCGATTTTCAACCAATGGCGTATTGCCATTCGTTTGTTATTATTGTCAATGATGAGTCCACACCGAGGAGAATTCGCATACGGCCTATTCCAAAAGGGTAACGGCCCGTTTCAAGAGTTTTGTATCGTAAACTTACCTTGATATGTATATATCATTATACATTACGGATATGTATATTTCTTACAGATATGATAACGATGCAATTGAAGAAGAAATATATATATCAACGTTCGTAACTATCAGGATGCTTTCAAAAGGTCTTTCGCATCGAGCTGTTCGTCACCTTTCGAAAGCATCCACCAATCGCGAATGTACATGGAGACGATCTCGACAGAATTCAGAGAGTACATAGAATTTATCAGAGAAATACGCGATGCTGATAATTTAGTTTTTAGTTGCATGCAATCGATGAAAGAGAACTCGTATTCGAATCTGTGAGAAATATAGCCTCGTACCTTTTGAAAGCATCCAGAGCTCTTTGGAGCTGAAGACACCTGTCGCGAGGATCGTGTCATTGCAGACAACACCGTTATATAGTTCATGGTATCCTGTACCTGGGAACAAAACCCAGCGAGTGATATTTAATATCCGCTTAGATTCGCGATCCGGTACACATACAACTTTGGACGAGTATAAAAGTTTTATCTTGAAAATCGCTCATTAAAAACACACGTAAATGCGCTATTTGAAATTTACATAACAAATATATAATTACACAAATAAATACAAGTAAGCCGCGAAATTATGCGAGTACCTTTTCGACGTCTGTCTTCCTCCTTGCTAGCGTTGCAGATACCATTTAGAACCTCTGTAACAGAAAAGATGTGATTTAATGTGAGCTTAATTAATAATAGATAATTTATTTTAAATGATGACTGCAATAACACAAATACACATATACTCTCTCTCCCTTTCTCTCACGATTTTTTATTCTTCAAAATTTAAATATTTCAAATATTATGCCGAGACTTATAATATCAAAATATTCAAGTAGAGAAAATTACGTAAAGTTATTCTTTCGACGAAAAGCGTGTAATGTTTTCACTGTTGCACGGTGTTTTATACCACCGCGTTTTACGCAAATCTCATTACGCAACGTATCACCGAAATACTCGAGGGTCCGGAATGTACGGCGATTTCTCGAGGATCGAGAGGGGTAAAGATAGTTGCTTTTTACGCTGATAAAAACTCTAGTTTTGCAATAAATGTTATAAAACGTCAAAAAATTAAATACCTGCTTTTGTGTTGTGTACGTTCACAGAGTTTTTTTGAAACTCTCTTTTTCTTTTATAAATGGGAGAGGACAATTATACATTATTCAAATCTAATCTCGTTTCCTCTCTCTCTCTCTAGGTATCTCTAAGCATTTGAAAATTTAAAATACTTATGTTTAAAATAAAATAATATCAAAGACAAAGCTTTGGAATTTTGTTAAACTTGTGTAATCCAATAAGATGTGTCTTTCACGATAGAAAAATAGAGTCTTTTAGCTCTCTTAGAGATCGCAAACTATTGAAAACTAAAATATAAAAATGGATCTCTCTCCCTCTCTCTCTCTCTCTCTCTCTCTCTCTCTCTCTCTCTCTTTCAGTTTTTAACGCTTGATTTCTTAAACGAATAGACTGAGCTTTATTCGAGAGATTCACAATTATCTACTTTACTTCACATTTAGATACAATGGGCGTATCGTTTCGGTATTCGAAAATCAATTGGAATGACATACAACGATTTCGCACAGGTACAAAAATATTCAGGTATTTTCAGTGGCATGAAAGAAAATCAACGTATAAGCGAAGCTCTGTGAGCTCGCTAAAGATGTTCGTTGCCTATTTATTTATAGAGCGAGCATACAGCGGCAAGCATGGTCACGCGCTTGCGTGCACATTTTCTCTACACGTTCATCCGCGCTCGCGCAGCATATAAGAGACATACGCACACAGTAACGCGTGATAATATATATCAAAACATGCTCGGATATTTTATTGTGCCGATATAAATATTTTAAGCACTCTACAGGAAGCACTCTACTCGTCAGAGAGGAAAGGTACCTTCGAAAAAAAGATTAAAACAAGATTGTGTGTTTATCTCTCCATATTTTAGATTAAATGAAATTTTGCGTTCATCTCTATGTCGCTAAGTAGATTATATTCAATAGATATTTTTCGTTTAGTTATTGTAAATATTAATGCTATATTCTCTCATTATGCTCTTTAGTTCGACCTTTTAAATTTTAAGAAACAAATCAGCTCGTTTAAAATGCTCTTTTGATTAATCGGGCAAATAATTAATCGCAAATCTCTCTTACCATGACTCGTGATAAAATTTGCGAGATAGAGATCCAGTTCCCGGACGGAAACGTTGATGTGATAAGGATTGACGCAAAGTCCTGGTTGCGCGCACTCCGCAGTCTTCTCTAGCCGTTCTCCGTCCGTCGATTCCAATGGAATTGCCTTGAAAAGGATCACCATAACTAGGTCCAACCTCCATACCTATCGTAGGAGAAAATCAAACGTTCGTTTTAATCGCCGCGCAAACTCTAAACGTCACAAATTTTGCCATTGAATTTTGCTCGTTAAAAATTCGTACTTTTCATTTGTCTTATTTAATGAAAAGAGATTGGGATCGTTGGAATAACAGATGGAAAGATCCTAGTGAAACGAAAGCATAGCGGAAATTCAAATAATCTCGGCATACCTTGTCCGCTTGACGAAGGCAATCTATTCGACGCATTTTGCCCTTCTGATCAGGATTGCTTAGAACACACATCGCTGGTCTTTTCCCCGTAATACTCAGCACAAAGTCCTCTCGATATTCTTGCGTGATATCCTTCCGTAATTTTCCGAGAAGCCGCGAGGCCCATTTCTGTTTCACTTCCAGCTTCTCGTTCTAGAGGAAGGAAAGAGTATCGTAGATCGCGCAAACACGAATCGATGTACGCGCGAGTACTTATTCGCGCCTATTATATTATTTCTGATAATGGAAATATTTATTCATTTACTATTATACATTTAACGATAATAATCTTATTAAAGCGAATAATATATTAAAGTGTGGGCATTTTTCAAAGAGAGATAACTACGATAAAAAATGCTATTTACACCACGTATCGATATTGGTTCCATCTTTCCGTTATATAGCGGGACGATTCGAAAGCATCTCGATGTGAAAATTTCGTCGAGTTTGTAAAGCTTGTAACGAGAATAGCGACTAGCGACAATCTCGAGGAGGGACATCTTTCGGGCGAGCGATATGCAGCGCACGCGGGCGACCCTCGTCACACTCGGAATAGCAAATACACACGCATGCATAAGATCCCTGAGAAATGCATTGAAAGTGCGTGGAATGCATCGGAGAGAATGCTCCGTGCGATCTATCTCGCCTAGCCCGTTTTTGCCGCGCACGTACGCACACGCTCCGTATTCCCTTCGTAGACAGGAGACGACAAAAATTTTTTCTAGCTCACCAAATATCTTTGTCGTCATTGTAATTCGCGACTCGATATTCCCGACGGTAATAATCATCGGAAATATTAAAATCCCAATGTTATGTATTACAGCTGATTATGAATATATTGTAGTTAAAGGCGACACTGTTTGGCGATAACGACTGACTCGTACTAATCGTAAGAGATAAAAAAATTGAAAATATAATTATTGTATAATAAAAAATACAGCATATAAACATAAATTACAATTAAATTTAACAAAAGTTTTAGCGGAACAAGAATCGACCTCTCTCTCTCTCTCTCTCTCTCTCTCTCTCTCTCTCTCTATCGATAATTAAATGAATAATTATACACGTACATATATGAAAAAAATTAAGTTGATCGATATTGAGCGTGGACTAGAAAATTTGGCAGAGGCAATTAAGCGTAACAAGTGTATAAAATGAACGGTAATAAATTGGCAATCGTTTTTACCGTAGTGGCAGGCGGCAGACGGCAGGCGGTAGGCGAAAGAGTAGAGCCAGTTTGCGAGAAAACGTATGCGAGGCTGTCACGCGCATCCACGTCCCGACATTTCCGCGCGCGTGTGAATAAAATGTCAAGCACGTTTTTGCACGTACTAGCGAATAAAGCGGATAGGAGCGCGCATTCGCGCGGTTTTGCTCGCGATGCGCCACGCTTGGAGAAAGCGTCGCACACGCGTTTACGGTGCATCCTGCGTGCATACTCGATATCAAGTATGCCGAATGCGAAGGAGAGCCTTCGCGTTCGCGGGAATTGTGTTCAACGAGAGAGCGCCTAACACCGTGACATGCGTACGCATGCTACCTTCCCAAAGGCGCGGCTTACACGCTACCGGATGACTCGCTCGCGCTAGTGATTCTTTTCGTCGTGTCTTTTTCCCCTATCTCTGCTTTATCGCCACCAAGTCTGTCGATGCTATATTGAAAAAAAAAAAAAAAAAAAAAATAATTACGCAAAACTGGTTTTTGTATATGCCTGAT